AAATCGTTTTTTCGTTTTTCATATAATTTTAAATTTTAAAAACGTGAATGTTTAAAAAACGAGTTACAAAGTGCAAAACAAACTGAAAAATAGAAAGAAAAGAAATATAAAGAAGTTTTTAATTTTGACTGCAGATATAAGTACAATTATGAATTTACCAAAGCTACCAGTTACTCTCTTCCTTCTCTATCTTACTGAATCTTCAAAACCATAGATCTTAAGTTCATTTTTTTTCTGTTTTACATAAAAAAAATTCACAAGGGATTTCCAATCAGGAATACAGGTAGTCCTCGACTTACAACCACAATAGAGCCCCAAATTTCTATTGCTATGTGAGAATTTCTTAAGTGAGTTTTGCTTCATTTTACGATCTTTCTTGCCACAATTGTTAATTACTGCAGTTGTTAGTACAAATAGTCCTCGCCTTACAACAATTGAGCTCAAAATTTCTGTTAAGTGAGACATTTGTTAAATGAGTTTTCCCCCATTTTACGATCCTTCTTGCCACATTGTTAAGTGAATCACTGCAGTTGATAAGTTAGTAACCCAGTTGTTAAGTGAATCTGGCTTCCCCGTTGACTTTGCTTGTCATAAGATCACAAAAAGTGTTCACATGATCACGGGACAATGCAACCATCATAAATATGAGTCAGTTGGCAAGCATCTGAATTTTGATCACATAACCATAGGGATGCCGCAATGGTTATAAGTGTGAAAAATGATAAGTCACTTTTTTCAGTGCTGTTGTAACTTCAAAGGGTCACTAAATGAACTGTTGTAAGTTGAGGATTACCTATAAATATAAATGTAGCTTTTTTGCACGCTAAGGATAGTATGACCTTTCTGGTTCACATTTCTATCGCAGATTTGAAATACCTTTATAGGCTATAGGTAATTTTTCTGGTGTCATGTATCAATGGTACATCATTGTTTTCTTTAAAATTGTAACACAGTGTAAATTTCAGTTTATCAACCACATATTTTCCCATTGTTAGATCTGTATATTATAACCAGTTTTTAGCCCACTTTATTGTATATTCTTTCACTTGTTCTCTTTCAAATTTCAATAAAAGTTTATACATTTTAACAATCATATGTTCATAATCTGTAACAGTGTCAAAGTCAATGTTACTATATTCAATACCATGAATTATTTTGTGTACCCATCATCGGGTGCTCTAGCCTTCCTGTGGTTTTATTATCATCTATAAAGCCCTTTATGGCTTAGCACCTAATTACCTTCAGGATTGTTTATTGCAACTGGAATTGGACTAAACTATAAGATCACCCTAGGAGAAATAGCTGAGAAGGGCTGTTTTCAGTAGGGATGAAAACAAGGTACTGCTTCTCAGTAGCGGCTTTGGTATCCATTTTCCAGTGGTAATCAGACTGACTCCTTTGTGAGGAGTGTTTAAGAAATGCTAAAAATAGTTGTTTCATACAATATTTATAATTTAGAATTAGCTGTCAATGTATATTGATTTAATACATATATTGTTTTGCAAGCTGCAACTAATTCAGAACGAAATGCAGCTTTAAAAAATTATATTGATTTAACGTGCTATTATTTGTGCTATCGATGTTTTAGATAATTTTTTTGGAGAGAAGTGTGTGTGTAAACCAATGAGTACTTTTTAATTGTAGTGTGGCACAAAATTCAATAAATAAACACATGTTTATACCTGCTTTGTGTGTGTGTGTGTGTGTGTGTGTAGAGTATACACACACACATATACATACACACACATACACACACGTTTTCCAGCACTGGGATATACACTTTGGATAAAGACTTTATTGTTACTCTAACACAGACATGTCAAACTCGTGACGTCATGTGACGTCGCGCAATGTATCGGAGCTTTTTCCCATTGCTGGCAATGGGGTGGGTGCGGTTTCTTCATGACACGTCTGGCCCTCAGGCCAGCAGTTTGACACCCCTGCTCTTACACGTGAGACATATTTCACCTATCCAATAATGTTCACATTATGTGTTTTACATTTTACAGCATATAGTAGGATACAACCCTTTTTAGGCTGGGTACTGTTCATTTCCCAAGTCATATATGATTTATAAAAAAATAAATCATAGTTAATTCAATTATCCCTGTGAATCTTATAAAAATTGAGATTTGGCATGAACTTTTGAATAGGTTCAGAGGCCATATATACTCCGGTGATCTTAGAGACTGTATATTACCATACTACAGTTCCCAGAAGTCCCTTTTAAAAACATTTCACGGAATCTGAACGTCACAGTATTTAAAAACTTTGTTTTGCTCACTTGTTCCACTTTACTCAGCACAGATAAGTCATGCCGTTTAATATAAAGCTATATTCAGTGCCTCTTTATCACTTTCAAAAAACTAAGACTGCTCACATTTGGAAACTGTTATTTCAAAACAAATGGAAGGGACTGTCCCTGTTAAATATAAACTATCTGGATTGGAAGTATATTGTATGCAATGACTACCTAATGGTCAGCAGCTGCCTCACAACTAAGAAGACAAAGTGACAACTTGGGTCTAAATCAAGTATGAATATGTTATCTTATTGCTCCATCAGAATATTGGTTTACTTTTAGACAAAAGGGAAGTCAACATTCAAGATTATTTTGAAACACAGGGCAGGTCAGGAAACATGCTGTACTCAGTAGTTACCCATTTGGGAGTTGGCCTCCTGCTTAAACAACTAAAGTCAACAAAAGTGGACTTTGTTGTTGTACAATCTTAGGCAGCTAAAGCCCAATCAAAGAAATCCATTTTACAGTTGGGAATCACAGGCCCTTTAATAGCAGATACATACAAACAATATAGCTAAGGTGCATTCTTAAGAATGATTTAGAAGTAGATGCTTTTGAAATAAGATTTCTGATTAAACATGACTAGTGGTTTTTGCCCCAAATGAGCCAAATGCTCCTGAAAATCTGGTCCAGGAAACAATAATTCAGTATGCAATACAAAGATAAAATGAGTTCTTAAGAGTTGAATGCATGACAGAATTGAAGAAGAAACTGATAAAATCTGTAATCATTTCCTCTTACAGTGATATTCCAATAGAGCTTTTCTGCACTTTTGCTAAATGACTCTTGCTACTATAAATGCTACCTTTTGATGGGAAGGAATATACTGTTCTAAGAAAAAACTGTATACCTGGATGAATATACTCTCACCAGCATTAATACTATTCATGCTATTAAGTTAGCAAAATGCACCAGTTTAAATTTTGAAATTTAATTTTTAACATAAAAAAGAATGACTTCACATAAAAGTAATCATTTTGAGAGTTACGATAAAGGCAGAATAGTTTTTTTTAAAAATACTTTAATTAAAATCTTACAAAAATGCAGACGATTAACAAATTATTTTCATCAGCCCCGATAATCAAATCACCTTAAACTGACATTTCAATCCAATTGTTTAAAAAATAGTTTCTAAAATCTAAAACAGTTATTAAAATACAGGTTAAAAATCCAATTCAACTTACACTTTTTGTACATACTAAAAATATTGTAATAAAGGTTTTATTGCTTTCATTGGGCAATGTTAAAAAAAACTTAAATTGCCATGTTATCAGATATGTAATTTGGTGATACAATCTTGAGCCACAATGCACACCCACACACACGAGAAGGAGCTAACTCTGGGTGCTGTACTGAGCACCCTAAGAAAACATAGGAAAAAAAACATATATAAGTAGAAAAAATAATTTTTAACAGCACAAAATTCCATCAATTTACCTAATTGTGAAATTTCACTTTTCACTTCCACATCTTAGAATAAAATTCATACATGCTGAAATAAGGTATTTCCTATTTTATAACCTTTCTAATGGTGCTACACAGTGATATTTTATTTTTATTTTCCTTGATGGAAGCTCATAGCAACTTACAGTACCTTTATAGGCACATATAATCCAAAACAGTTAAACCTTTATAAGCTTTAATAATGAAGTAATATTCTACACTCTTGATCAATTCTTTGACTTAAGAAAAGATTGTATATGAAGAAAAGAATTGAAATACACTAAGTATGATTATGCAAATAGGCGTCAATATCTTTGCAACAAGTTGGAACCTTTCACACAAGCATCCCAAAAAATTGGGTTTGAGATTAGATATGGACTATGCACAGTATTTATAATACTGTATGCTCAATGAAGTTTCGTGAAAGAAATAGGTGGTGCATACATGTTCAAGAGAAACTGCCTTAGTTTCTTACCATTTGGAAAAGCAGCCTATTTACATAAATTTCTGTTGCATTTGAATAATATGCTAAACCCATGAATTACACCAAATTACAATGACTAAGCCAAAGCAAGCACAGCACATAGTGTTGAGAATAGGAGCATCATTTAAGTGTAATGTGATTTCTTTGGGCATGTTGTGAAAATGCAAACATGTTTGAACACAGTTGCTGAGAACAAGTACTCCAGCAATACTTACAACCCTTCTGTTTTGAAAACTGAAGCCAGGCTTTTTGGCCAAGCACTATCTTATTGCATTCCAACTGGAAAGTCATAAATTGCTAACTCTCCTATTTGGACTCTGAAACTAATTTTTCATACAATGTCCTTATTTTAGAGTTGACAAGGTAGAAGGTCATTGTATTTGTCTACTATAGGATTAGAAAAGATTTTGAAATCTGGAGGTTTGAAAAGCATTCTCTTTCTAGCTGATCATCATGGCTATATTATGAACTTTTTCAAGCAGAAAAGCTGAATAATATGTATATGAGAATACACAATTAAAATACAAAAAAAGATTAAATCCAATTTTATTTGATCATATTTTTGTACATGCAACATGAAGTTCTTTTGCCCTAAATCTCTGAAATCTTTTCCAATTCATATTTTCTTTCATCAAAATAGGTTTGATATGGGGAGGTAATTCAGTATCTATTCTCCTACATATGCATGTTTTGATAAGACTAGTAACAGTTTAAAATGCTTATTTTATTCATTCCTCTTCTGAAATTAGCTCAAACCTATTTTTTTTNAATTGCTTGAGCAAATTCAAACTATAATTACTGAAAAAAGCATGCTAGAATTTTTAACCTATATGAAACTACAACGATCAATGATATAATTTGTCACATCCACTATGTAGCACCATTGCAAAGCGTATATTTACAAATATAGCTTTACACAACATTATGATTGATAATTAAAACATTAAAACATGAGAATGGAAAACTTCATAGGTTACAACACTCATTAAATTCCCAGTTCTTACCAATATATATTATATATTATTTTAATGAAATCATATTCATTAAATCTCTTCAATTTAAAGAGTGATTCTGGCATTAAGGCACTTATACAGTTTTTCATTATGGCTTTTCATGTTTTAGGTTCACTCTTTTAGGAAAGACTGGAACATCCTGTGAATGAAGAACTAGTATTCTAAACAGTCATAGCAACAAAGCATAAACATTGTTTAATAAAAGATTAGCTGTTATATAATACCTATGAAGCTAAGTATTAGAACAGTATTTGTGTTAATTACTGAATTGTAATTTATCAAATATCTCAATCATACTAACAGGAAAAAGGTATACTAAAAATTACAGGATTCTTCATACTTTTGATATAGTTCATCTTGAAAAAAGATACTAAGAGTCCATGATTAAGCAATTTTTGTCACTTGAAATCTGAAGATGCCTGGTTCAAAGCTAACACATCTTTGGGCAGAAAAAAGGCAAGGGGTTGCACAGAAGACAGAAATTCAAAAGTTTCAGAACTCAAAAAGTACCCGTCAGTATCACTTTGGACCCCCACTTTTACATTATCCAGGCTGATAGAAAGCCTGTCGCACACAGCGCATCCGTAAACAGAAACAGCAATCACTTATGGAACAATTGCTGTCAGGGCTAAACATTAAATTTTATGCATAGCATGCATATAATCAACTCATTATGGACTATTGACTTTACAATATGTCCACAGAACCATCCATGCAATCTTGAGACTGGTTGAAATACATCTTAATTATCTGACACATAGATGTTGCAGAACACCCTCCTTTAGGATTTTAGGAAGAAAATTAGCCATTCTCTTAAACACTCTATCACTCATCATGCAACCATTTTTGATTCCATGTTACATGAAATGTTATTCTTTTTCTGTATTAGAAGCTCACGAATATTCCATAAAGCATTAAAGACATCAGCAAAGTGTCCAATATGTTGCATGAACCATTCACAGCTTCATTCAATGCCATTTTAAAAGGGAAGAAGAAATCAAATGGAAGTTTGCTATAAATGTCAGGTTGACCATGTGGTGACTCTGGCCATTTGGTAACATCTGTGAAGGTAACTGTACTTGTCAAAGGCAACATGTTCATATATATACCCAGAGACTGAAAGAAAACAGAGTATGTAGCATTATTTAGCTGTTACCTTATATCCAGTGTTTTGAGGAAAGAATGTATGGAAAGGGATAGGAACAAAATGTGGGATAAAAAGTTTCCATTACTTATTGAACTAATTATAATTTAAGACTAGCGTTTATTCCTTTAGGCTTAAAAGGAATAGAACATTTAAGAGAACACCTGTGCCATTTGTTGAAGGATTTGGATATAAAAAGAAGCTTTGTGTCATGAATATTCTTCCTCTTGCCTAGACAGGATATTTTATAACAAAGGAATTGGTACAGAAAATGATAAATCTTTTTAGACTTATCATTACTTTCGTCATCACATAAGTAAAAATAGATGCATAAAGGAACTCCACAGAGTCTAGAGTTCATTTAGATTCTAGACTTTCTGACTTCTAAGGACTTTATATCTCCAAGGGCCTTTATATTGCTTCTCTCCTACGTCATTAAGTAGCAACAGAAAGCTTTTGCAGAACTATAACATTCTGCCAAAAGAACAGATTTTTGCAGAACTATAACATTCTGTCAAAAGAACAGATTCACTTAAATATTAAATGCTCTTTTAGTCTTCCATATTTTCCATATATAAGCTGTAGTAAGTCATGAATTCATACATACACATGCATTTTATCTCCTTTGATGAAATAATAAAGCATTCTTTGGTTTTAAAACTAGAATTCCCTGTTATGTCTGAATTTAGATAATCTGATTAGTGTAAATGCTTAATTTATGAACAAATCAAGATAATCCCTTAATTTAACTAGAACTTAATGTGAGAGAAAAAATGGTTACATATTCCAGCACATAAAGACACAAACCCAAATCTCCTTATGCTTTATGCACGAAGCTCTGAACTAGGTTTTGCATTAGCTCAAACTACCCAAATAAAATAAGAAAACAACCTTAAGATATTGAGTTCATACATGCTAAGCCATAATGCAATTTGTTTCATTTTGCTTAACATAATATGTGAATTCAGGTTATTTTTACTTATTCAACAGAGATTAAACAAATCATCATTTAGCATGACTTTTGAATTCAACATTATCTGAAACTAACCTTCAGAGGCCTGCAGAGGTAATAATATCGTGCACCCAACACTTGAGCTTGTGGATTAGATAAGAGGCCCACATTAGCCCATATCACCTGAATCTTCAGGGAAATAGGAATCATACAATGCCCATCCTAGAAAAAAAAAGGATACCAGAATTTAGGTAACAGGAACCCTAACACTTCCTGTTGATAATCATAAGTAAGATCAGAATTAATGCAACATTTACGTTCAATTAGAAAGCATAATTCACAGTACTATAAAGAGATACAGAATGTTCTGTCATCTCCATCTCTCCATTCATGGGAAGAACAAAACAATGTATAGCAGGCACATTGGGTCCAGGAGAAAAAAGTTCTTTCTGAGTACAAAGCTGCAAATATACAGTGACTGTAACAAATTATGTCTACCACATAGCCGAAAAAAATAAAACAGATTATGTTTTAGTACTTGTGACAAAACTTATATTAGGAAACTAAAGGCGGAGTTAGATGTCCTTTTCTCACATTACCTGCAACTTACACCTCTGGGTAAAAACTCTGGTCCATTGCTCTGGATGGCCTGGATCAGCATTGCCAGTTATGGCCAAATGCCCTGTGCTGAGTCCTCCTTCGAAGGCTTGGTAAAATAGCTCCTGCAAGTCACTACAACTTCTTTCCTCAGGTTTGAAGGGTATTCTGTGAAAGATCAAGCTGCTATGTGTCACAAATATGAAATATAGAAAAAGATAGTAAAAGATAGTAAACAGAATAAAAATTACAGAGAGGGAAAGAGCTGCATGGGAAAACTATATAAGTTATAAAGAAAGGACAACACAAAGATCCAGCCCTTTTAGAACTGGAATCTCAGAAAATAATTGTCCGGAATCCTTTGTGGAAATATCTATACACTACTCCTTCAATGTTCAATAAACATGTAGTATGTGATAGAGACAACATTTAGCAAAATTCTTCACTTCATCTGCCAAAACAGATACAATACATCTGAAATCTGAATTAGAAGAAAAAAAATGTAAGAAGCTATATAAAATGTTACCTGAACTGGCAGCCCATTCTTACATTCTCCCCAAATTGTACTGTAAATCTCTCAGCTGCTGAGCACTGGCCATTAGCTTGGTTTTGTAAAATGGTTACCTGAGGAAAGGGAGTGATATGAAACTAAATGAGAATATAGTGGAGCCACAAAAACAAATTATAGACTGATACTGGTACCACATAAAACTTTTATCTATTATTTGTAAAACCATGGCATGAACAGATTTTGAATAGTAAAACAGGCTGCTTAAGCTTTAAAAAATGAATTCAATGCCTTGCTAGTTTAGGTCAAGCAGTAAACTTCTTCCTTGTGAAGATTTCATTATTCTTCTGGCAAATCCACATTTAGAAAAGTTTTACAGTAATATTTGTATTGCACTACAGTGTGTTCTCCTATGAAGCTACTATGTGTATTTTGCATGTATTTTTATTCTAACTGAAATGTCAAATTATTGCTAATTGATCAATCAGTATATGATTTCCCTCATTCCAGTCCCCAAGATTACAACACTGCCAACTGAGAATATTTCAAGTGAATCCCATTTCTAAACATTTATACCACTATAAATTCAGATCTTTAAATGTCACAATCTGTTGACTTCCTGTGATAAATAACTTGGATACATCTCTGGAAAACGATATATATACAGATATATCAAATACACATTTCGTATACTATCATAAAATTAAGATAAGATAACCTTTTATTGTCATTTTTATACCGTGGGCACAACGGCATACATCAAAAATGAAATTTAGTTGCCCGCTCTCAAAGTGAAACACATACATGACACACACCTAAATATACTATGAACAACATATGTATAGACCCACATCCCTACATATACGTAGCAAATAAATATTAAATATTGTCCATTTTGAATATATAACGGAAGGAGGAAGCTTGAGAGTTTGCAAGGTTAATGCTGTATGGAATGAAACTCTGGCTGAATCTGGATGTTTTGCTTCGGATACCACGAAGCCTCCTCCCAGAAGATAACAAGGAAAACAGGTTGTGAAGAGGATGTGTAGTGTCCCAGATAATCTTACGGACCCTGCTCAAGCAGCGCTTGAGTAAACACATCCTACATTCCTACTTCCCTCTTGATTTAATAATAGAGATACACAATTTCTTATTGATGTGTTTTAAAAGTTTTTAAAAATTGTGAAATAGATATCAAAGAATCAAAAACCAAAGATATAGAACTCCCCCACCCTGGAAAAAAGAAAGGAATGGAAAGAAAAACAAAAAAAGTATGGGACTGCACTCATAGACTTTGCTATTATCTAAAACTAAATAAATGACAGGTAGGTAATACTGCACTCTTACTAACGGTTGTGGGTAAAAAGGGGATATAGTTTCTTAACTTGGTTCCAAAAAGTGTTATTTGCATATAAGTGTGTGTTAATTTCAAGAACTGTTGGAACAGGAAACTTCTCTGTATTATGCTCTTGAATAATAAAAGCTTTCCAATGGACAATCATCTAAAGCTTATACCCATACATCCACTGGCAAACATAACTTAATATAGAACAAAAAAACATACATGTTGCTGGATCCCATTATATAAAGCTCTTAGTGGTGCTCCTGTGATATAGCCAGGATTTCCACTTCTTCGTTTGGTCAAAGAAGGTCTTCTGCTCTGTAAGAAACAGGAAAATGGCAGGAAAAAAGGGGTAGGGAGAGAATGTTATATTTAGTATGGCAAGGAAATGGGCCTGGCCTTTCTCAGGTCAGGATCATGTATGTCCACATTTCTGTTAACTAGTACTTCTTTAAAAATGTGCAGCAGGTGGCAGTGTCTGATTGACCTTCTTATTACTCAGGACACTATTGTGGCAAGAACATTGCCTGTAGCTGTGTCTGTAAAGATGCTATTAGTAAAGAAGACTTTTTTTAAAGTAAAAAACTGAAATACCACACAAAAGTGGATTGCAAGGCAGCTCAGAAATTATCAGAGAAGTTAATCAACCAAATTGATATGAAATTGAAATTGTTCTGAAATTGATATGGAACCATGCCTACAAGCTTGCTTGGTGCTATAGCTCATTTATCTTATTNGATCCTTCTGTATCTTAAGCCTGTCTTCTGGAGTGTTGGCTATTCCTGCCAGCTTGGTGTCGTCTGCAAATTTGATGAGTTCCCCATCTATCCCCTCATCCAAATCGTTGATGAAGATGTTGAAGAGCACTGGGCCCAGAACAGAGCCTTGGGGCACCCCACTACACACTTCCCTCCATGTAGATGTGGTTCCATTGAACCACATCTGGAGTTTTACAGTAATATTTGTATTGCACTACAGTGTGTTCTCCTATGAAGCTACTATGTGTATTTTGCATGTATTTTTATTCTAAATGAAATGTCAAATTATTGCTAATTGATCAATCAGTGTATGATTTCCCTCATTCCAGTCCCCATGATTACAAAACTGCCAACTGAGAATATTTCAAGTGAATCCCATTTCTAAACATTTATACCCCTATAAATTCAGGTCTTTAAATGTCACAATCTGTTGACTTCCTGTGATAAATAACTTGGATACATCTCTGGAAAACGATATATATACAGATATATCAAATACACATTTCGTATACTATCATAAAATTAAGATAAGATAAGATAACCTTTTATTGTCATTTTTATACCGTGGGCACAACGGCACACATCAAAAATGAAATTTAGTTGCCCGCTCTCAAAGTGAAACACATACATGACACACACCTAAATATACTATGAACAACATATGTATAGACCCACTTCCCTACATATACGTAGCAAATAAATATTAAATATTGTCCATCTTGAATATATAATGGAAGGAGGAAGCTTGAGAGTTTGCAAGGTTAATGCTGTATGGAATGAAACTCTGGCTGAATCTGGATGTTCTGCTTCGGATACCACGAAGCCTCCTCCCAGAAGATAACAAGGAAAACAGGTCGTGAAGAGGATGTGTAGTGTCCCAGATAATCTTATGGACCCTGCTCAAGCAGCACTTGAGTAAACACATCCTACATTCCTACTTCCCTCTTGATTTAATAATAGAGATACACAATTTCTTATTGATGTGTTTTAAAAGTTTTTAAAAATTGTGAAATAGATATCAAAGAATCAAAAACCAAAGATATAGAACTCCCCCACCCTGGAAAAAAGAAAGGAATGGAAAGAAAAACAAAAAAAGTATGGGACTGCACTCATAGACTTTGCTATTATCTAAAACTAAATAAATAAATGACAGGTAGGTAATACTGCACTCTTACTAACGGTTGTGGGTAAAAAGGGGATATAGTTTCTTAACTTGGTTCCAAAAAGTGTTATTTGCATATAACTGTGTGTTAATTTCAAGAACTGTTGGAACAGGAAACTTCTCTGTATTATGCTCTTGAATAATAAAAGCTTTCCAATGGACAATCATCTAAAGCTTATACCCATACATCCACCGGCAAACATAACTTAATATAGAACAAAAAAACATACATGTTGCTGGATCCCATTATATAAAGCTCTTAGTGGTGCTCCTGTGATATAGCCAGGATTTCCACTTCTTCGTTTGGTCAAAGAAGGTCTTCTGCTCTGTAAGAAACAGGAAAATGGCAGGAAAAAAGGGGTAGGGAGAGAATGTTATATTTAGTATGGCAAGGAAATGGGCCTGGCCTTTCTCAGGTCAGGATCATGTATGTCCACATTTCTGTTATCTAGTACTTCTTTAAAAATGTGCAGCAGGTGGCAGTGTCTGATTGACCTTCTTATTACTCAGGACACTATTGTGGAGTCCTGTACCAGGAAAATTGAGTAAACTGGAAAATTGAGAAATATCTTGGAAAAATGCAATAGCAAACTACTTTCCTACTGTGGCAAGAACATTGCCTGTAGCTGGCAGACATTTCTACGATAATCATTTCTTCTGAAAAAAATTTCATTTTTTGACTTTATGGTGTGTTTTCACCTAACGTTCCGTCGAGTCTTTAATAGTCTCTTCAATTAGTTGGTTTAACTATACTTTAACTTTAACAAGACTTTAACTATACCTTGGTACGGATGTTCGAACGAACCACGATATCGAGTAAATAGAATAATATATAGCATTAAAACTGTCGAGATGCACAACAAACACCAATCCAGAAACTCTTGCCATTGGGTTGAGTAGAAAGTTTAGTTGTATACTTTGGCCCCAATCTGAAGATATAAATACTAACCCCAAAATGCAGAGAAAAACTTTGTTGTAATGTGACTCCTGCATTTCCTGATATATTGGTCAACTTGAACTGAACGTAAACCTTTTGGATTCCATGGATCCCATTAAACTCCATCTCATAATTCACCTAGAAGTATATCAAACAGATCAGTAAAAAACAAGATATGCTCATGGATAAGCTTTAGCTTATTTCCCCCCTTTTCTATTATAGAAAAGAACAATTGTTGATGTAGCTAAATACCTCAGAAACAACATTGTGGCATGTATTACCATTCAGCCCAGGAGCTGCGGGCTCCGAATGTGGGATAATGTGGACCTGGCAATGACCAAAACATATACTCAATTTTTTTAAAAAAATCACCTCACATGATTCAATTATAAACATTAAAATCATAACATTTTGTAATTTCTAAAATTACTAAATCTCTAAAATGTTAAGATTTCTAAAATTACTCCACATAATTTTGCACAATAACTCCCTTATTTGATTACTTTCTGAACGATTGAACCCTTTGATCCCAATGAATGGCCAATATAAGTAATCCAATATCATTCCAAACTTAATTTCTTAAATATAGCTAGAGCTGCACTTCATTTGTCAGTCCATATTAGTCCAAATAATTCCATGTTATTTCAAGATACGATTTACTTAAATTAGAAATGGAAAGATGGAAATAGTCATTATAATTTACCTTGAAGAGCTGGAAATCACTAAAATTGACTGGGACCTGAAAAAGAAAACAAAACCCAAACCATAGATGCCTCATTTTGCCATAAATCCATACAGTTCATAAATCTGGTCTTCTTTACAGCCTAATTGTCTGCATAATCTCATTCTCTCAGTAGGAATGGAGGATTGTTTAGGAATACAGGTAGTCCTTGACTTATGACCACAACTGAGCCCCAAGCTTCCGCTGCTAAGCAATATAGTTAAGTGAATCACTGCAGCTGTTAAATGAATCATGTGGTTGTTAAGTGAATCTGGCTTCCCCTTTGTCAGAAACTCACAAAAAGTGATCACACGACTCCGGGATAGTGCCATCATCATAAATACATGCCAGTTGCCAAGCATTCAAATTTTGATCATGTGGCCACAGGGATGCTGCAAAGGTCATAAGTGTGAAAAATGGTCATATGTCAGTGCTGTTGTAACTTTGAATGATCATTAAAACAAATGGTTGTAAAGGACTACCTGTAGCCATTTTTTTCTGTGAGGGTATAGATCTAACAATATTCCAGTTCCCAGAACTTGCCACAAGTGATCTTTGAGGATCAGGTTAGTCTGTGATAAGCCATGCACAAACGATTAATTCTAAATAGAAGTTTCACTACAGGAGCTTTGTACTTGTCTTCTACTTGCATAAAATAATTAATAATTAATATCCATGTTTAGGAAGTAAAAAGATGAAATTTATTTTGAGAGTAATAACATTTGGTTTTTCTTTATTAAAACCTAACAATTCCAAGAAAGTAAAATGAGAAATTATGGTTAAAATAACAATACATTTTGATCCTACACACTAGTATCTAAGTTCTAAGTCTCCTATTTATATATAATCTTACCCACTAAAAATATACCTGTGGAGAAAGGGCTTAGACTGATGTGACATTCTTGATGTTAGGCCTATGTGTGTTTCCATTTTTTTTAATTTTTTATTGTATTTATGTATTTTTCCCTGGTCTGAACACAAATATAAAATATAAAACATTTTCCAAAGATTTAACCATAAACCTACTTCAGGGGGCCTGCCCACAATGTTTTCATAGGACTTCACCCATAGAGCACCTGCTTTAAGCTGTTAATACAGATATCTCCCTAGATGCTCCTGATTTTAACAAGATAAATAATTATCTTTAGAGAAGTCCCATGTCTAAATCGGGACTCTTCCCTTATTTGTTATCACAGAACTTCACAGGTGCTTTTGATAATACAAACATTTGTTGCAACTAATTATATTACCTCTTTTTCTACAATGCTAGCATTTCATATTAGTTGTCTTTTACAATAATAGCGTCACATTTCTATAGGACTTGAATTACTGCCAGTAACAGGCCAATAGATAATATATTTCCCAAAATTTCTAATTTTCTACAGAAGAAAGTAGTCACTAAATTCACCTCCTCCTTCTCTTTCTTTGCTGTTTAAAAAGTATATAGGCTTACTTTTACTAATAAGCAAGGCTTTTTTTTGTCATAGAACGCCCAGAACAGAGTTCCGGCACCTTTTTTAGATGGAACCTTGCAAGATAGGCAAGGCGGGTTGTATGACATGTGTGAGTTCCGGCACCTTTTTTTTTTTTTTTTTTTTTTTACAAAAAAAGCACTGCTAATAAGTATGCATAAGAGTCCACTGAAGTTGGGAGCTAATAATTTTAAATGAATAAATAAAATAATAACCACTTGGACATCATCGGCACTGATAAATTCACCAATCAATTGCAAAAGGCAGCTTTACTTGGAAAAGCTTACATCCTGCAATGTGAGATGAACCATAGTAATAATAATAATGATACCTCTAACAACATAAAATATGTTGCCTATCCCAGATTCTTGGGAAGGACTCGAGAGGTGGATACAAATGCCAAATCCAGTCTAAACATCTGGCTGACTGTGCAACGAACCGTAATAAACAAGATTACACCTCAATAGCAGAATAATAGGCTTAGCGGTAGGTCAGATTTTACACCTGTAATACACTGAAGTTACGATAATATGAAGCTGCATCCAATGCAGGATCAGAGGTACAACTTCTCATCAGGTCTGTAAAGATCCTAATACAGCTGGTAGTTTTACTTTCCAGGAAACCTAAGAAATGAACATACTGTAAGAGGTAAAGAAAGACAGACACACAGGAAATGTTGACGTAAGAGTTCAAAAATGCAGTTAACATTTTTTAATATGTATATATGTATATACTATATATATGTACTGTGTGTGTGTGGAGATGCTTTAAAACAGAGTTATAAACAGCCAAATTCCAGAATCTTATTTTTTGACAATGTCACCTTAATAGTACATCTTTCATAAGTTTCAGACTGAGCTTTCTACTTCAAAGGCTCTGACTACTTTGTCATCTGATAGAATATCACAACAATAAAAAGAGGACCATCAAAACTTTTAAAGATCTAGCTTCAGAATCTGTATACCAGACTGCACATTTTATTGGAGAAGCCTCTGCCTGACTAAGCTTTTATTTTTCTTCCAGAATCTGAGATTCCATCTGGAATTGTTTTTTTTTTTTTTTTTGGTAATTGAGCTGTATTTCTATGTAAGACTACTTAGAAACCATGTTGCTCCTTGTCTCTCTCCTAAAATGACAATCAGTAATACTCAAGAATGACAATTAATAATGTCCTAGAGCAGAGGTCCCCAACCTTTTGGCACCAGGGACCGGTTACGTGGAGAGGTTTTTCCGCGGACTGGAGGGGACATGGTTTTGTGTACTGCCTGCATCCCGTGGATGGGGCTTTACTTGTTTGTGCGGCCTGGTTGCTGGCATGCCACAGCCTGGAAACGGTCCAGAGACCAGGGGTTGGGGACCCCTGCCCTAGAGAGACTTTGAAAGTTGACTCAGAAATTTTGCTCTGACTAACATTTAATTTTCCAACCTATCAGTACAGTGCTGGCAATATAGCATTTCTTTCCAAAAATGTTAGGCTGTATCTCAGTGTTACATGAACCTAGCCATGGGCTCACAATTAAGATTAGTATGTTCCATCTACCACGTCTTCTCATAAATTTGCTCACCCTCCATTTACCAGGAATCAAATATTTTTGCTATCAATTGTGTAATGTTTAAAGCACTACAGTATATGGTGGCTTTTAGAAAAAATATAGGAAGTCCTCACTTAACGATGTTTAATGACAGTAATTGAGTCTGGCAACATTGTCACTAAGTGACAGTGTCATAAAGCATCATGTCACATGACCATTCCAACTTACACTGATAAACTGGCAGTTGTGGCAGTTTTGGTGTGATCATTAACTGCAGTTGTTAAGCATGATATCTGATGCATAAACATGATTACCTCCTGCCACCTTCCCCTCTGACTGTGCTTGTCAGAAGCTGGCAGTGAAGGTCACAAATAGTAATCACATGACAGCAGAGTGCTGCAATTATAATAATTGCAAACTGGATGCTAAGAGGACCATTTATTAAATCTTGTTCAGTGTCAATATAACTTTGAACAATAGCTAAATGAGTAATCACTTATCAAGGACTACTAATGAATTATCAAATCCAATAAACTTTGTGAACCGTTGTTAGATTTTTGCTAAAATCTCAATGCTCACCAGCAGGATTCTCATCAGTGCAAATCTGACTGGTTCCAATGCCCACAGGTTGCTTAAGCACACTTAGTGTAGATGATGCAGCATAATAAATCTGAATTGGATCCCCCATCTGAAATGGAAACAGAAGAGGTAAAAAAGCCTAATTCCTAAAATAGCCCATACAGAAAAAGAACTTAAGCATCAACTTGATTTTTTTTAAAAAGTCAACATTTTTCATCTATTTCACATGATTGAATGTTTAACTAATCTTACATTGCAAGCTACTAGGCAAGTCTTACCTTGTTGAGATAAGGAAGAAGGCTAAAATTACAAACATCTAAATCTGGTCTACTTCACATTTTCTTCACATTTTCTCACTACTAAAAAATCTTAAAAAAATAAAATAGCCAAGAACCAACTCACTTGATAAAAGGCAGATGAAGAAGACCAAACTTGTTCTGGAAGGATGAAAGATGACTTTCCATATTGTGCTGAAAGTATTGGAAAATTTACTTTTGTCACCATCTGTGGCACTTGTAAATAGTTCAGTGTGGCTAAAAATAAAATATGGGAAGAGGAAGCACAACAGTAACATCATAGTGTTAAAATGGCATCCCATATTGCAAATGTAATAAATGTTATTCCCTCTTTATCTTTTTTTAATCTGGGCTATAAGACCTAGTACTTTTTGAAAGTTCTTTCCTGGTTTTTGTCAGAGAGCTTGTATACACCTATTCTGTTACTTTAGTTGTCCATCTCACTGGTTTAGATCAGAAACATTTGTGCATCTATGAAAGATATTTGGGGACTAAGGTTTAAAAAAATTGCATTTTTCAAATCAAAGATCACTTGCCCTTTAATACAAATCTAGATAGTAACGAATTTAGGGTCATGTAACAGACAAATTGGCCTTACTGTATTTATGTGGCTCAGAGTCAAGTCACTTTAGTACCAGGATATAATTGGATATGAATTTCTGAAGCTAAGTAGTGATATTAACACCTTTCGGTATTTTTTGTCTACAGTTCCCTTAAGCTCCAGATAGCATTCCAAATGTTCTGTGATAAAGATAACAATTGTTAGAAACATTTAGAGTACCAGTTGTCTGTCCCTCAATAAAAAAAACAGGGTCTTTTTGTGTTGGCTGTCAAAAATTAAGTATTTTTGTAATTTTATAGATTTGATGTACACATTTTCCTAGGTGAGTTATTAATGAAATAGATATTGACAAAACTATTCCTGGAAAAAATAGGAATTATGTGTGTGTGTGTGTGTGTGTGTGTGTGTGTTAAGATTCACTTAACAACTGTGTTACTAGTTTAACAAATGTGGCAAGAAAAGTTGTAAAATGGAGCAAAACTGCACTTAATAAATTTCTCACTTAGCAATTTAAATTTTGGGTTCAACTGTGGTCGTAAGTTAAGGACTACATGTAGTATAATAATACACTATTCATACATTTAAATTAAGATGTTTTTCTAATACTGTGTTTATTTTTAAGAAAGAGGATAGAATTCTAAGAGTCAGACATTATTTCACTATCAGAAAAATAGAAAGGGAAAGTGCTTAGAAAAATTGATACCATAATGACAAATGAAAAATGCACCTATTTCACAAGGTTTCAAAATGAAACTACATAATCCACTACGTAGTCGTTTAATCTTCAGAAAATAAGCATTAATTATGATTTGTATTTCTATTTCTAAAATTAGATTCAGAGAATAGCTGCAATCAAAGAGTATAATTTGTTGTAGACAAAAGGCCAAACTTACAATCATTTAACTGTACACAGAAGAGTAATATACATCCATCAGGACCTGGAAGGATTTCAGTATGGAAGGGAGTATTATTTCGGAAAATCAGGGACTTTTCCAAGCACACCCGACTCACAGCTCTAGGGGAAAACACAAATACAGAAAACTATCTTAAATAACATTGTTTACACAAACTCAAATTAACAATATATACCAAATAATGGCTTTCAAAACATACAGCTAAATTCAAGAGTTAGTTTTTGGTACATAATAAAACTTAACATTAAAAGCAGTTAAAAAGCTGCATCTCCAATTCCAAAATTGTGCTTTTTTTACAATCACAAAAATATCCTTCCAATATATTTTCTAGATACAATTATTTATTTCAATTTAAGTACTGCCCAAATCTGAGCAGCTGACAATACACAATAGAAACAATACAGAACAAAATGGCATCCAGTCATTCTGTACAAAAACACACGTAATAAGATTTTCCATTCATATTAACCCTAGCCCTGAAAAAACAGCCAGTCCTTAAGATTTTAAAGAATGCCAACAGAATGGGAGACACATGGATTTCAGGGCAATTTCATTCTGGGAGGCAGATGCTGCCACACTTCCCGAGTCCCACTAGATAGTACTGTTTAATCAAAGGAATCCAGGGGGAGCTAATCCTGCTGGCACATTTTGGCCAAGTAGAAATCATGGGAAACAGGAGATCTCTCAAATAACCTGGTCTTATGCCAAGTACAGCTTTATAGGTGATGATCAGCACCTTTAATTGCTGCACTGGAAGCATGATCAGCACCTTTATGAGCTGCACTGGAAGCACCAGTGCAGCTCATAAAGCATAGGTGTCGCACAGATATTCTGAGGCATGCCCATCACTGTCGATGCCATTGCCTTCGGGACCAGTTGAGGCTTCCAGTCTGGATAGGATGTCTAGAAACCAAAATAAAATCTCCATATTCACCTGGTACTGCCTGGAAGGCAGAAAGAGAAGGGACACCCAGGGGCACCAAGGTTGCACTCCGAACCACAGTGTGAATCACAACAGCAATTGATGTCGCAGAAGCCTGGATGCAGATCACAGGGGCAGTCTGGGAAAACATTCGTGGGGGAAAGAAGCAGCATGAGCAAAGATTTTAAAAACAAAGCAAAAACAATAAAAACAAAAAAGTCGATAAAGGGGATAATTCGCTTCAAAGGAAAGAGGGATACATGCCAACACTTCTCCCCAACTCACCAGCACTGTCTTTTGTCTGCATGTGGGGAGTCTTGCTGGGGGAGGTCTTGCTGGGGGAGGTCCCGCTGGGGGAGGTCCCGGGGAGGGTCGTTTCGCTGGGGGGCGTCCCAGTGGGGGACGTTTCATCCGTGGAGTTTTCTGCTTTTAGAGTGACGTTGTCAGTCTCGGTCTTCGACCACAACTCCGACAGCAAGAGCAGCAATGGGAATAGAAGCCGCCACGCTGCCATAATAAAGGCATTTCTGCGTTGCTTAGAGACTGAGTCGCAAAGATATGACGTTCACCAGAAGGCGACACCCTTAGCGTCTTTTCATAAAACCTATAGAGCTAGAAAATTATAGAGTCCATGATAGAGATGGAAAAAGATCCGTGTGTTTTTGATGCCGCGCAGCTTTTATGGAAGTTGTGACTGAATAGCGTAACAGGTATCCTGAAAAAGACACAATTGTAACAAAGACACTGTCGTAATACAGGCCTGTAAAGAAACGGCAGATCAGAGATGGGATGGAGTTCGGTTTGTATGCTGAGCAGTAAAGCCTTAAATGAACCCTTTTTATTCTTTTTTCCTATTTTCCCCTCTTTTTTCTATCCTTAAAAGAGCCTCTCGTTTGATTGCCTCTCTTTCCAATATGGGTGGGGTTTTTTTTTTGCTTACAGGATGATTGAAAATTGCAAATGCAACATACCTGCATGCAGTAATGAGAGAATCAATAGCTTTAAATCTGAACCCAATCAAGAACTTCAATTATTTCAGTTATTTAGTTATTGAAATTATTATTTTTAGGTTATGACTTATACTACCCGAAATGCAAACCGACCTCTGCCCCATCTCTGACCAGCAGTTTTTATAGGGCACTATTTTACAATGGTGTCTTAGAATATTCTGCCAACTTTAACCAGCCTGTGATGCAGGCTGTATAAATATTGGAAGAGAAACACAAAATATTTAAAAATGCTTCTCACCCATAAGGTGAGGGAATTGAAATTAGGCTTGTTGTACCTTTTCTGAACAGCCAATTTTATTAAAAGAAATAAGCTTTAATGAGCTGCAACTCCCTTCATTTGAGAACTATATTTGTAGCATGTATTATGCTTTATTATCCCTCCAACTGAGCTTGACTCTGAAGATACTGGGATATAGTCAAGCAATTTTCAGGTAATAGCATGGCACTGGTTTCCCACTGCATTCTTCCAGAATGTTTCTTTGACTTCCCAGTCCATCCTACAGCTTTGTGTTTCCTGCTGCTCTTCCATTCAAGTACCAAGCAGACTCAGCCCTGCTTTACTTTCAAGACCAACTATGTTTACCAGATATCTGAATGGAGAAAGGAGGATGGACAGTTCAAAAGAAGGACAGATGGAGAGAAAAGGAGGACACACAGACTGTTTTGACCTTCTTGGCAATTGCGACAAAATTTACAGCAAATACTGCAAAAAATGTACTTAAGCCTACAGGTATGTGAAATTACTTTTTCTAGCATCAGAAAGACTGATTTTTCAATGGCAATATTTTTCCAACAAAATTTTATTTTCAAGAATACATATGATAGCAATAATATTGAATTGATGATGACATGTTTTTCAAATTTTACCATAGAAATGTAAGGCAAATCATGCAATCTATTGACTACAGGGATCATAGATTTGAAGTAGCTGGATTGAAGCCAATTGCTGGAATTAGGAAAAAAGTAAATAACATAAATCTAGTTTGTCAAGTCTGTTGATTGTTTGGAACGTGGCTCAAGATCCCAAAACAAACAAACTCAGTTGGAATTCCAGCAACAAAGTTTTATTGAAAAAGAAGCATTTGCAAAGGCTTGGTGAACTGAAACACATGTAGGAGTTCAGCCACACCCTAAAGAGCTGTTTGACGCATTTTTATATCCTACCCCCGACGCAGATTCCCCCTTCCCCTATCACACTCAACGCTCCTTGCCTAATCATCCGGTAAACTAACTCGGACTGCCTAAAACCACTGCCCCCTCCCCATGTTCCAGGAAGCCCCTTTGTGCACATCCTATCTATCACCGTCTAATTTTCTATCAACAAAGCTCAGTTCTTATAATTATCTCTATATTTGTTTGTGGTTATACCTTTGCTACCTTAAGCTCTAAACTTTATCCTCAGTTTTTTGTGTTTCCTCTACTTGCGGTTTCAGTTAGCTAGCAATTTCTGCTTTTCATATTTGAATGAAATTTACTTGTCAGAGTTTATGAGTTTCAGGTGGCTTCTTCTATCAACCTTTAGACTCATTAGAAATTTCTGATTAATAATCTATTCCTTTCATGATGGATAAGGAGAAGAAAGAAGCAGGCTATTTTCAAGATCACAATATATGAAATTTTGAATCATTACTGCTGTAAAAACAGTTCACATTTTTTAAAAAATACTCAGCTGGGACATATTTGATTTTAAGGCTGTGCCTACTGGACAGAGGACATGAGGGCAAAAAAGAGGACATACTCTTCTTTTACCAGACGTCTGATAACACTAAGCCCAGGTGAGTTTTGATCGGATGCACAAAAACAGTGTCTTCTCTGTGCCATAGAATTTGTTTTACAGAAGGGGAAGATGATTCCAAGCTACTACTTCATTTCAGAAATATTTGTATGCCAGAAATTAGTTATAATAAATAATGGAATATATTATTGTGCTATGTGCTATTGATTAGTATATAGTGTGATTGATTTTAATATTTTTTTGTTCCTATCCACTGTTATGATAATTAAGTGATGCTTAATTTATGTATTATAAGGATTTCATATCACTAGCAACCAGAGGTGTTATATAATTCTCCATCTCTCCTTAAATGATGATCATTGTACTTCATTCCCAGTTTTTGACACAATTTATAACTTTTAATTTCTTACATTTTTGTAGAGAAAATGTGTTAAAGGTAAAAGAATGGGAGAGCTGCCATGATGTCCTTTGATTATGCACATTAAGAGCTATCCATCTCGAAGCATTATTTGTCTAACAAATAAGCTAAAGGAAAACAAGTGGATGTTACAAATGGATGACATAGGCATCTCATAATTTTTTTGTGAATAACATAAGTACAACAGTCTCAAATGGAAGCATTTTCTATCTTCTAGACATAGGCCACAAAAATATAGAGTTGAATGGGACGTTTGTGGTTTTGTAATCCACCCTGCTGCCCAGATTAAGAATCTTCCAATCACTCCAGACAAGTCCAACCTTTATTTGAAACCCCAGTGCTGGAGCAACCACAACTTCTGGAGGCAACCTGTCCCACTGCTTAATAGCTCTCACAGTCAGGACATTTCTCTTTATAAAGTTTGGATCTCTCGCAGTAAAATTCTACCCATTGGTTCTTGTTCTTCCCTCAGGGACTATGAAAAATAAATCTATACTTTCTTCCCTTTCAAGAAGTATGGGAAGACTGCTATCATGTTTTCTTTTAGTCTTCTCTTCTTTAAGCTAAATATACCAGTTCCTTTAAGTCAGTGGTTCTCAATCTTTTTAATGCCGCGACCCCAACCGGTCGTAAGTCGAGGACTAAACCGGTCATAAGTCGAGGACTAAACCGGTCGTAAGTCGAGGACTAAACCAGTCGTAAGTCGAGGACTATCCAACCGGTCGTAAGTCAAGGACTTTCCCTGCCCGGGAGTGCCGCACATGCGTGGTTCCGTCCCCTGCGCCAGCCGAGACGTAGCTGGCAAGCGGCAGAGACGGAGCAGGCCGACCACCAGCTGGCCCAGCCCAAGGGAGGTAAGGCACCCGCCGGAAAAGGGGAAAAGGTGGACAAAAAAAATGGCGGACAGCCTTGCTTGGCGACCCCCATGAAATGGTCGATCGACCCCAAATGGGGTCCCGACCCACAGGTTGAGAACCACTGCTTTAAGTATTCTGCATAGATTTTAGTCTTCAAGTCTACCTTTGTTCTTCTATACATTCTTTCCAGTTTCTCAACATCCTTCTTCTATTGTGGCAACTAAAACTAAACACAGTATTCCAGGTGCAGAGTAACCAGTGCAGCATAGAATGGAACTATCAATTCCCATAATCTTGAAGTTAAAAATAATATTTGGGGTTGGGGGATTGGATATTAGGTAAATATAAATTTACAAAATGGAAGATAATTGGCTAGGTAGTTACATTTCTTATAAGAATAAAGGCCAGGCTATATCAAAGAAAGAGCTTATGAGACTCATAAGTAGAAAAAAAAAACAGTACAGAAAAGCAAACAATTTGCTTAAGAAGGTTTCAGATTATATACTATGTGGGAAAATATAGAATGAAAAGTTTGAATAAGACACAAAAAAAGATGGTTTCCAAAATAACAGAGAGTTTCCATGTGGACTGGATAAAACAATGGCACTCTATTGGAAAAAATCCAGAATATGACTCTTTTCACGCCTTCAACGTAACGGTTTGAAACTACATGAGTAGTTCGAAACGATCTTTCAAATTTATTTATCTAAAACATCTAGAACCCTCGGTAGTGTATGTTGTTTGTAAAAAACAACCGTAGAACGGAAATAAAAAGACTTTGAGTTTGGATTGGATCAATGGATCTAAAATTTAATCCTTTATACGACCCCAGCATGAATGAGTTGAGGTGTTGTTGTTTTTTAGAAACTGAACTCTATACATATTTTTGCTACACATCTGAGTCTTTAGATAAAAAGAACAAATAAATCTGGAAATAAGCTTTGGAAATTTTAGAGAGGATATTCAAGAAAAATATAATAATTCAGGAATGTTTTTCAGTATTGAAATTGATTTAATAAAAAATGTTTTTATCCAACCCATTTACTACTGTTTAAACCTCTGAAAAGCATTAAAACATAGCCATGAAACCGCTCAAACAATTGAGAAATATGAAGTTACAACATTCAAGAGTCACATGAGTTTACTTCTCCTTTTTAAGAGCTTCTGTTACACATTTAAAAATAGTGCTACAAGAAACCAGAATCAAGCTATCTTGGAGAAGAGTATGATAAATGTCATATTCAGAGCAGCTATGTTTTCTCAGGAATGTTCAGCAATAAAAGTTGTCCATAAAAATTCAGATCTTGAACATATTAATTCTGGATGAAAAAAAAATCATACCACTCCTTGACTGAAGCAAAGGTTTTTTTTTTGTGCTATACTAGTCATGCCCAATCAAACAGAAACTATCCTGTTTGAGTTCAATAGCCTCATACCCAATCCCAAATTTCTTGTATATAGGGAGTTCCTTCTTCTCTGATTCTTGTTTGTTAGTA